CGTTTGCATCAAAAACCCCAGAAAGTAAAAAACAATCCCAAATTCCCATGGGATCTTCATTCCAAAGAACTGTATCAATTTTCTTAGCTTGCTTCCTATGTTTCACCCAAATTTCTCCCATTTCTTGCGGGGAAAAAGTGTCCTTGACTTTGTATTACGAAAGCCTCTGTCCTTATTGTTCCAATTTCATTGTCAATTATTTACCTAAGGTTTTCAAGAATGGACTTATTGATGTTGTTGATCTTAAGCTTGTTCCATGGGGTAATACTAAGATCCAAGCTAACAACACCTTCAAATGCCAGGTTCAATCTTTTTCTCTCTCCCTAGATTTCTCTTTTTTGTTCCACGCAACCATAGACGGATTTACTAGTTCTAGTTAGAGCCCGTTTGGATTAGCTGATTTGAAATAGCTGAAAAGCACTTCTTAGTGCTGAAACTGATTTATTAAATAAACAGTTATGTGTTTGGATCAAGTGCCGAAATTGATAATAAGTTGTTGCAGTATTTGATAAAAAAGTGCAGATAAGCTCTTTTTTTGTTAAAATGACTTAAATAACCTTAGAACTGTTTACACTTATAAGGGCGTAATTTCTTCAAAATTTTAGATTCCAAATCGATCCAAATAAAAAATATTCTATTTGTCATTTTATTTTAAATAAAACTGTTCTTAGAAAAGATAACTTTTGTGATAAATATAATTTATTTTATGATAAACATATAATCATAAGTTATAATAATTAATAAATCGATAAAAGTTTCTCAAAATAAACCTAAATAGGACAAAATATTTGAAGAGAAACAAACATTGATACACCAAAAATTTGATATGTCCTCATTTATTACATACAGTTGAAAGATTAGCTCACAATTACATAGATATAAATATGCAAAGGAATAGAGAATTTGCTTATCTTGAATAGTCAATGAGAATTGCAGACTTGAAGAGGTGGGGGAGGGGTTAGATTGAAATAGTACTTGAGGCACTGAGTATCGATGTAAGAGTTTTGTTCTAAAAAGAATATTTTAAGGATAAAATAGTAAAATTTTTGGGAAACTTAAAGTGCTTATAAGCTAAAAAATCATAAGCTGGGGGTGACCAGCTTATGGCTTTTGGCTTATATTTTTGACTTATAAGCACTTGGCTTATAAGCACTTTTAACTTTACCAAACGCATAGATAAGCCGAAAAGTGCTTATAAACTAGTTTGACCAACTTATAAGCTTAGCCAAACACCCTCTTAGTGGGTTTAGATTGTTAAATTTTATGTTTTGTTATCTGATTAGGCACAAAGTTAAATAAAAATTTTCCATTTTTGAAACTTGTTTTCCAGGATAAAACGTGAAGTTTAAAGTTAAATTATTTTCTAAATATAGAAATGTATCATCTTTTTAGGACACACTAAGACGGACTATAAAGGAAAGAGCATGACAGTAAATTGGGACTAGAGGTGGCAATTTGAGCGCAAACTCCTTTGACCCGCGCAAGCCCCCCAAGGGTTGGGTCAATATGGGCTAAAAATCAGCGCAACTCAGCCCATCTTGACCCAACCCTTTTCATCCCATCTAAGGTTGCGCTGATTTTTAGCCCATATTGATCCATGAGTAACTTTGCTAAATATTTTAAGATAACTTTTTTTGTTTGATATATTATATATGACCATAACAAAAGAAAAAAAAAAGTTTTATTTGATAATTAAACAATTTATGAGAAAACAATACACATTAATTAAAGTTTGGTAAGAGTTGGCCGAGATGGGCTATGGCACAATTTTTAGCCCAACTTGACCCATTCCATCACAATCTAAGTTACTTTTGGGCTGGTCTATGACCCACCCATTTATTGACTCAACCCATTTTGAACCCCTAATTGGGATATGGGGTAGTACTTTTGCATGTGTATCATTTGTTGAACGACCCAACCCGCCCATTTGACACCCCTAATTGAGACATATGGGATAGTACTTTTGCATGTGTATTATGGTTGAACGACTAAAATGGAGAGACTATGACCTAAATTGGGACATAGGTAGTACTTACGCATGTGTAGTTGTGTACTATGGTTGAACAAAAAGCAATGAGTTCAGCTGAGATCATTGGAAGGGGATCTGGCAGATCCGTAATTTAAATTTGTAGGTTCTGAGTCAAGAGAGCGGCTTCCGAAATGTATATCTATAACTCAATCTTTACTTGTTTTTATGCACATATGTGGAAGGTTTGATCCCGAAACATTGGGGTCTGCCGAACCTTTGAACCATTGTTATATATGTATATGCATAGTATGAAACACACTTAGAGATTTATGAAACTCCCTTTGTCATGGTTGCAGCATGGTAAAGCTGAATGTTTTCTGGACACTGTGGAGGCGTGTGCAATTGATGCATGGCCAGATTTGGTAAGCTACGGATCAAAATTGTACCTTCCGGTCATTTGTATTTTTCTGAGCAATTCACACACAGTTCAGCTATCAAAAAATGATTTTCCATATTTACTATCATAGTGGGTGTGGCTGTGTCCACTTCAGTACGAAAAAGGTAGTTTGGTGACTTTACTGTTATACTGGACAAACTTCAGTGACCGTATGTGAAACTAATCCAGCTTAAAAACATTAGAATTTGATTCATGTAAAAGATAAATGCGTAGCACTACGTTAGAGAGTTAATTGATAAATGGCAGGTAGCTGTTTACTTCTATATCTCACTAAGGAGGCTATTCTAAATCATAATTTCATTTTTATTGGATATTTGATGCAGAATGAACATTTTCCTTTCATTTACTGTGTGGAAAGTCTGGTCTACCATAAGAATTATACCCAGTGGGAAACATGTTTTGAAAAGCTGAATTTGAAGGCAAAGCTTGTTAAAGATTGTGTTGGAAGCGGGCGAGGGAAAGAGGTTAGTTCTTTTGAATTGATTTAAAGCTAATCCTTTCTTGCTGTTTCTCTCTCTTTTTGTTTGTTGGGCGGTATTGTGCATTTTTTGGTATGTTGGTATTATTTCTGAATTACATTGCTGTAAAGATTTCACTTTGGGTTTAAGAACTCTAAATCTATTTGAAAGTTTAGATTTGACAACATAGTGTGCAAAAGAAAAAAAGAACTGTGGTTTCTATTTTTCTGCTATATGCTTTATTATAGATGCTGAGTATATGAATATGAAACAAAAAAATTTCTTCGATCGACTACTGTTCTGCTTGCAGATACTCATTTCTGAACTTGCTAGCTAGTTGAGAGGCGGACAAGTAGCATTATGCATTTATCTATACAGACATGTTCAAAATTTTCATATGTGCTGGAGGCCAATTCTTGTTAAAGTTGGCAGAGGCATTTGAGTTTCTGTGGAGATCTTTTTCCTTTTCTGTCGTCTAATTTTTCCTTGGAGGCCAAGTCCCTTTTGGCCTATAAGATAAAGGAGCGCTTCATTCCATTTTGATCATCCAATCCAAGAGCGAGTAAGTCTCAGACAAGGCGTGAGAGAAATAGTCTGTGAGTAAAAATAGTGTCTGAACGGTGTGATACTGAAGTGTATAAATCAAAAGACTCTTGTTTCTTTTGATTGTGTAGTGGTCTGTTGAGTATTTCGATCGAGGCTACCACGTGTAGAATCCTTACGACAGTGATAACGTATAACGTATCTCATTGTCAATTGTTATTCCTGTAATTCACCGTGAGTACTTTTTCTGTGTGCTATTTCCCCCCAATATTTCATACAACAAAGTTTTGAAGGCTTAGTCAGCTTTGGTCAGCAATTATATCAAACTTGTGGCTGTTGGCGAGTTTGTGAGTTTATTAAGGTTTCTCTATTCATTATGAACAGATTGACAGAAGAAAGTATTTTTCTTCAGGATGAGTTTCTGTTCATTTTTTTGACAACGCACTCTAACATTTAAAGAGATTTGGAGCCCATTCTCCATCTTTTTTTCCCATCGTCAGATTTCTTTATAGAACCATTCTTCTTTCTCTGTTTCTCATAAAACAAATGCAAGGATGTCATTCCTCAAACCTTTCGCACATTGCATAATAAGTTTTCACTTAAGAGTTGAGTAAGAGGGATAAAGGTGCCTTTTGCCTTCTTTGTGCCCTTAAAATGATTATCTGCTTCTCTGTCCTAAAGTTCGCTGTTAGGTCCTATATGCTCCTGTATTTTGGGTTATTCAGGTAGCTTACGATATAAACTTTAGGTAACAAGTTCTTTGGGATAGGAGATTTCTTGCTGTGCTGAGACCGTAAAGGATTTAAGTTTTTGAGATTAATGAAATTATCTAGAATAATTTGAAAGCTAGTCCTCGGCATTCATCCGTTTGGCTTGAAATCCAACAACAAAAGAATTATTGGTTTTGGAGCTTATTGGAAGCGAACTTGATTTGTAATGAACTTTGATGGAACAGATTTTATTTGGTATAATTTTGTTTGTATTGTAGTATTCTTATGTTCTTTGAATTAATCTTACCTAAATCTTATGTGCAGCTCGAACTACGGTATGCAGCTGAGACAAATGCCCTTCAACCTCCTCATAAATATGTGCCGTGGGTGGTTGTTGATGGCCAACCGCTTTATGATGTCAGTTTCTTTTTACTCTACATTTCAGAACTTGCACTTTGAATTATCTACTGTTACAGTCCCTTTCTACCAGTTTGTCAAATTAAATTTTCGAGTTCTCGTTCCTGCATTCATGTCAACAACTACCCCACTTCTCCCGGCCCAGCATTTCCCTGGAAAAAGATTTCATAATAATAAGAAAGTATTCCGTTAGAAGGGGGAGCTGGTAAAGTTGCTGCTGTCATGTGACAAGGACACGGGTTCAAGCCGTGGAATCAGCCTCTTGTAGAAATGCAGGGTAAGGCTTTGTACAATAGATCCTTGTTGGCCTGGCCCTTCCCCGGACCCCGCATATAGCGGGAGCTTAGTGCACCGGTCTGCTCTTTCTTTTTTTTAAGAAAGTTTCCAGTAAATTCACTTCAAGGAGCAGCTCTAAAATTGCTTTTTGCTCTCAACAGTTCCTCAAAACTCTTTTCTATATCAATCTGCTTCCTGAAATTTTGCTTTTTGTACGCCATGTAACTAACGGAAATGACCTCTACACACTCCCCTGGGGTGGGGGGGGGGGGGTTGTAGTACT